GACACGTTCCATGCACTCACGACTGTAGATCTGAGGGTTTTGACCTGCATCGATTTTGGGAAAGACAGCGATCGGAACTAATACATCATTCATCTCTGGTTGCAATCTATCCACATCCTTAAACGATTAAAGGAAGTAAATATTTTGAATCAACAGAAGTTGTTTGATAAACAGACAACGAATGTTTATAATTTGCACAAATCATAAAGAACCGTGCCAATTATAACCATCAAATGGATAGGCTACCTGTAGTTTTAGAACCAAATCGTTAATCTTCCTGCTAATTGCGATGCCGGGTTGATAGTCACAAACTATAATTCCAGCCTCACGACAGTGATCTATGATGCCTTCCACACACTCTTCAAGCTGCTCAAACTTTTTGCCCCTCTCTGTCATAACCGCCACTAAAAACTGACAAAAGAAGCAGAAAAATGACAAGGAACGATGAATTCACCGGTAAATAATAAAATATTTGAAACAAATATCCTAATATATTTATTTAACCATGCAATAAAAATATATATTTTTTATTGAATTTTACATGCATATTTTGCATTTAATTTATTATTTTGTTCATTGCACTAGCTCCATAAAATATCAATAGAAATTAGGCTATAATTAACTGATAATTAATAGTACGTTTAGTCATATTCATCTTACAAAGCTGGTGAAAAAGAGATAGAAATCTTGTTTGATTTAGGCGCTTCCTTTGAATTTTTCATTTGTGTCTTTTATGAAAATTTATTTTGGATCAAAAAGGAGTGTACGATAGACTTACCTCCACGTGGTGTACCCTGGGCAACGTAAGCTCATACGGCAAAAAGGTCTATTAACTGGCAGTTAACTTCTGACTTCAAATTGAACTCACCCCACTGTACGTTATATTCGACTACTTCCACAGTACTCACCTCAAATTTTTTCTACCTTTATGTCTGTCTCTTTTACAACTTTGAAACACTCTTCTGTTCCTTCCCCCCCCCCCCCGACTTTTTTTCACTTCGATGTTCCTTCCCCTCTGTGAGGCCTGAAGTCAACTTAAGGACTAATGATGACTGTCACAACGCCTGCCATTGGATAGCAAAAATATTTACCAAAAATAATATTCAGAGAATTGATTTCCCTACTTTACAGATGTCCTCCATTTACTATAAGTTACAATTTTCATATTTATTTCAAAAATTCTTTTTTATCTTCCTGGAATTAATGCTAAGATAAATATATCATGGGGCTTATTTACGTTCTATCAAATTATTCACTAAATGATTGAATTTTGATCGGATCACTAAACTGTACAGCAACGGATTTACATTTCGTGATTGATAAACTGATCAGGAGGATTGCCATTGATTTATTTTTCTGAATCATTGCCGGCTTTGAATGACTGCAGTACAATCCATTTATTATCGTGAAATTTGAATATAACTTCTACCCAAAATTTTTCTTTTATCTTTCCTGTTTAATGTTAGTATTTTACATCAAAATTGGTATGGAATTGAAAATGCTATTTGGAGCGCTTGGTATTATTTGCTTTACAATGTCGATAAAGCGCATGTATTTTCTTAAATGTATTATTGATTAAACCCAACTATGGGCATTCACTTAGTGTTTGAAAACACATTTTCCCCCAACGTTTGTCTTAGTATGCCTAATATTTGTAAGTCTAAAAGCAGACTCATCAATTGACCTCTATGCTCCGAATAACTGCCAAGGTGTATAGTGCAGCATGCACAAGCGGCTTTAGATTTCATTTTGTTGGCTTTTGCCTGCCAATATATTCGACCTATTTTATTTTGCAATAGCATGCAAGATATTTTTTCTATAATTGATTGCCTAGCTGGTTGATTCGGAAAAAAATTTAACGTCCATCCTCTCCAAAAATATGTATAGCGGTGGTTAACAATGTCCTTCCATCTTATGATTTCGGACATGGGGTGTACAATTGACTTACCTCCACGTGGTGCACCCTGGGAAACATATACTCATTCGACAAGAAAAGTCTATTAACTGGCAGTTAACTCCTGACTTCAAACTACCATCATCCCACTGTATGTCATATTCGACTACTTCCACAGTACTCCCCTCACCTTTTTTCTACCTTTGTGTCTGTCTGTCTCTTTTACATCTTTGAAACATCCTTCTGTTCCCCCCCCCCTCTCGACTTTCTTCACTGTGATGTTCCTTCCCCTCTGTGAGGCCTGAAGTCAACTTAAGGGCTAAGATAACCATTAAGACGCCTGCCATTTGATATAAATAAATAAACTTAAACGAAACCAGAATTAAACAAAAGTCAACTAAAGACCTACCATTTACACGATCCTCTAAAGCCGTCAGAAGAGGCAGATCATTCCTCGGTTGACCACCGCCCTATTGCTTGTTTCCAAATAGTCTTGGTTAAGTAGAATAGTCAACATGCACAGTAACTTTCCAAATGTATACTTACGGTTGAATGGCTCTAGAATGTGATTTACTGACACCCTCCTTTCGAGTACTGGAAGGTACTTGACAAATTATTCTTGCCCATTAATCATGGAATAGGGGCCATCTATGCGAATCGAGCCAGAGGAATAGGCTAATGCCGTTTTGCAAAACAGAATATTACAAGTTCTGTTGCATTCACTTTCTTATCCGCAAATTATTAAAATGACTAGGAGGAGTAAAATAGTGCGATTTCATTTTATCCCACTTATGCTCGACGTTTATAAGCACCTGTCTTGAGTTCAATTTGAATACTCTTATGTGAAACTAAACTGATAGCCAGTTGTGTTTTTCATATGTGCATTTTAATTATGCATCACTTCACAATCCAGATTTAATTAGTTGGAAAAGGTAACTGAATCTTCATTATAAGCCCAAATGTGCAATCAATGGAAATAAAATCGCCTCGCCAATTAACCCCGTATTATTTTAAACCTGATTGTTATATTTGCTCAACACTTTACCTCATTGCACTAGAAGAAAATTTTTCCAAGTGTTAGGCATGGAATAATGCTTAAATGCGCGAAAAGGAAAAAGAATTCTGGTAAGAATGGAACAAGGGGTTGGAATAGGGGGTGGGGGTGGGGGTGGGAGGAGGGGGTACTAATGAGAATGGAGTATGAGGCTCTTGATGAGCTTCCTCATGATAGGCATGATTCAACTTGCAATATGAATATAAGTTATATCTAAATTTGCACAATTAGCTATCTGAATAATTGTTCTAGGCTAATATTCGCCATATTGAGGGCTAATTGACCAAATGATTACATTGAGTGGTTAACCATGCCATTTCGATTAACTCCAAAGGCACCCAAATTTAGCGCAGTTAATACGATTCCGCGCATGGCAAATTCTATGTGATAGGTAGAATATTCAAATCGGTCAAATAGAAAAAAACTATTTTTCCTCCTTTTTTGACTTTCAGGTTTCTTTGTCACATGCACTACGAGCATAGAATGATAAACTCTAAGCGCAACTTCAAAAGCTTTGATCAATATGACAACGTGTCACCATCCGCCCACGTCAAGGGACTTTGCGAACTCATACAAGCAAACTAACACGAGTTTCAGCGAGAGGGCGGGGTAGAGAGAGAGAGAGATAGTAATCGTTCTGGTGTGAATATGATTATGCATTGCAATATTACGTAAATATTTTGAGTGAGAGTCAACGTTTTTCCTGAGTTTTTTTGCACTTTTCTTCCAAAAAATACAATGAAACCCAAAAGTTCAGATGAGTACTGGGTTACATATGGCGTAAACTAAACTTAATACAATTTCATAATTGCAATTCCTTAAGTCAAATCGAAAGCAATCTACCTATAATTGCGTTTAATGGAGCTATTGTGTCAGAATTGTTTTACAAGTCACGTGATGTCAGTATTCCTGTCTTTATCTTCCGTTCCTCAGTTTCTCTACTCGGTAATTGGTCTCGTGGCAGCACCAATGAAGTAGAAGATGAATTTGCTCAGTGGTCATCCCAAAGAGAGGCGGTGAGGGGTAAATATTTCATGTCAAATAGAATTTATTGTCAGGGCACAGTGCGAGTTCGTATCTTGGTAACCGAGACAAAGTCTATATTAAGCATATTTTAATTCGGTCTTGATATGAATTCATCCTCTTATAAAGCGCGATTTTACCTCTGTGCATTGGTTTACCACTTTGTAATATTGTGATTCAGCTCCTCAGTTTATGTTCCATTTAAAAAATAAAGAAAATTGGACTATCAGGTCTTGTTGTGTGAGCAACTGTTTCTAACTAAAAAAATTTCCGGACGTTTTGGAAGTGTCAACTGTTTTTAGCG